TCCCATGGGGTGCAGGGCCCAAGCACTTGGGCCATCCTCCACTGCACTCCCTGGCCACAGCAGAGAGCTGGCCTGGAAGAGGGGCAACCGGGATAGAATCCGGCGCCCCGACCGGGACTAGAACCCAGTGTGCCGGCGCCGCAAGGCGGAGGATTAGCCTAGTGAGCCGTGGCGCCGGCCAGCACCATGTATTGTACCGTGTGTTTTTCTTTTTAAAAACATTTTATTTGGCAGTATAGTCAAAACTGCAGAAATGCTGCAGGAATTAGGCCAGTATCATGTATCTTTTACCCGATTTACCTATTTATTGCTAATTTTCTATCCCATTTGCTTCACTTGTTTCCTACATCCCCATCTCCGCACCCTCATACTTCTATACAGGTAACCTTTTTTTTTTTTTTTTTTCTGAACCATTTGAGAATAAGTTAGATATGTGGCCCTGTATCCCTAAATAGTCCAGTGTGTGTTTCCTAAGGACAGGAATATCCACTTAGATAACCACTGTCTAGCTATCAGTAAGTTTAACTTTGATATAGTTCTTTATTACCTGTAGCCAGTCTTGTCGGTTCACCTAATGTATTTTATAGGATTTCCCTGCTTCTAATAGAAGATTAGGTTTACTATCAGATGTTAATTTGTGTTGTTTGTCGTTTTCCTTTCCTTTCATCTGAAACATCTCAACAGGCCTTTCTTTGTCGCATAACATTGCCTTTTCAAAGAATATGGCCTCCCCACCCCCACCCCCTGTCTATTTCTATTGAACCGGGGTTGTGGGATGTTTCCTTATGCCTGGATTTGGGCTATGCATCCCGGACAGGAGTGTCCCGTGTGAGTTATGTCCTTCACTGAGCATCACGCTGGAGGCACACAGGTTCTTTTGCCACTTTCTGGTGATGTTAACCTTGATCTCCTAGCAAGGTATCCTTGGATCTTGCCACGTATTGTGCTGTGGTCTGTGCTAGGGTTTGAGTGTGTCCCCTCTAAGACTCTGGTGTCAAAACTTAAAGGCCAATGTGATGGGAGTGAGAGGTGCAGCCTCTAAGAGGTGCTGAGGCCAGAAGAGCTCCTCCCTTGTGCATAAGTAAGGTCTTTGTACAAAAGAGACTTCACCCACAGTTTGGTTCTCTTCCCCTTCTGCCAAGAGAGACAGTGTTCCTGGAGGACACAGCAACGAGGCGCCATCTGAGAGCAGAGAACAGCCCTCACCGGACTTCCACCAGTCTTCATCTTGGACTCCCCGGCCCCCAGAGCTATGAGGAAATACATTTCTGTTCCTGATACACTTCCCAGTCTCAGGTGTGCTGTTACAGCAGCACAAACACAGCAAGACAGAAAGAATGTGTCCCTCCCAAATTCCTATGTTGGATCCCAGTTTCCAAGGTGGTCACCTAAAGAAATGGAGCCTTTGGGATGTGATGAGATCATTAGGGCTCTGCCCTTCTAATGGGGTCATTGCCTAAGAGGGGGATGGGAGGGGAGAGGGGATAAATGATGGCACCCGGGAGTCATTGTCATTGCTAGCTGGCCTTGGGCTCTGCGCTTCACCCAGCAGCAGTCCTGCTGCTACCCAAGGAGTGGCCACATGGGAGAAGATAATAGGACAGAAGATGGCCTGTCAGAGGAAGCCACCCTCTAGGAGTCCTGGCGTCCTGGAAACTGGCCCTGTCACTCTGTCTGTCCTCAAATGCTATAAATAGTCGGCTTCAGTATCAGCTTTGACCAGACCAGGCCTGCAGCACAGGCCAAGCCCGAGAGGAAATGAATTTGGTGGGGGAGAATGGAGTCCCTGGGAGAGAGAGAGAGAGAATGGGTGGAATGAGATGAGGATAAAGGACAGCCAGCCGATGCTGGTTCCCCCTGCACACCACGTCAGAGGACTGGAATGCAGAGCCCTCCCCATCAGCATTTCCAGCCTGTCCATCATCCAGGAATGTCATTCTACCAGACCATCCCCTGCCCCTTCTACCCCCTTGTTCATTCCGTCTCCGCTGCCCTGTATGGCTGTTCTGCTTCTGTATCTGTCACACTTCAAAAGTTTATCTCAAATCACACCTCCCTCCAAGGAGGAAGTTCAAAAGGCCATCCCAGAAAGGATCCACACTAGTGCAGTTGCTGACACTTGGGCTGTGGGTGATCCTGACAGGAGAGTAGAGAGAGCTGGCCCTTTGGACCTCTGTGGATCGTAGACCAGAGGGGTCTTCTGGGACCCTAGGGACCTCTGAATAATCTGCCCTTTCCTCTTCTTGCCCTCCAGATCTTAAAGTGTTTCTCCCATCTCTGCAGCCAAGATTATGGCCTGTTCCTTGGTTATGGAGTGATTCTAGGGCAGTCTTTTTTTTAATTAAAGATTTATTTAATTTGAAAGGCCAAGTTACAGAGAGGCAGAGACAATAGCCAGAGCTGCGCTGATCCGAAGCCAGGAGCTTCTTCCAGGTCTCCCACACTGGTGCAGGAGCCCAAACACTTGAGCCATCTTCTACTACCTTCCCAAGCCACAGCAGAGAGCTGGATGGGAAGTGGAGCAGCCTGGATTCGAACCATCACCCATATGGGATGCTGGCATTGCAGGCGGCGGCTTTTCCGGCTACACCACGGAGCGGGTCCTACTAGGGCAGTCTCTTAACCCTTCTGGCCCTGTTGTGGGCTGGATTCCCTGGTCCCAGAGACAGTTCATTGTACAGGATGTTTATTAAAGAGGGTTCCCTGTCTCCACACCTGGGGGAGGGAGCAGAGAGGAGGATGGAGCAGATGGAGGAAGAAGAGCCACCATGTAGTCTCTGACCTATTCTACCAGGAGCTCTGGAGCCAAAATGCCACATCAGAGTTGTCCCTTATTAGACCCAAATGGCCAGTCTTTCACTCCACCTATGTCAATCAGCCCACACAGGCAGCTGGGGGAGGTGTGTGGGTGAGCAAGCCCCTGTAGGGGCTGCACGCTGACAGCTGTTCGCCCTCCAGCAGCTGGGACAAGTCCTTCCATGAACGGCAGGGCAGGTCTCCAAAGGGCCTTGTGATACCCAGGCTCTGTCCCCTGCAATGCAACCACAGATTAAATGGACCTGGCACACTCTTTGACACTCACTCCTTACTAAATGAGGACAATGGTTGTTATCTGGTTATTGGGCTAGGGCCTGTTAGTAATCCTGCCCCCAGCCGCCTTTCTTCTCTCTTGAGCTAAGGTCTCAGAACTGAGAATTTTTTTAGACGAGGCTAGAATTTAAAGCTGCGGAAATACAACAACAGAAACGAAAGACCTTGGTGAGACCTTTAAATTCAGATCCTGTTAGCCAGTAAATTACATTCTTTATAAATATACTATCTTGTGAACTTCATTACATCGCATTGTCTTTTGGTCTTTAAAAAATATAAACAGTTAATATGAGTCACCCTATCTATGCCCTGTTTTGGAATTTCTACTTCTTTTAATATTCAAGGATGCTTGAGCAGTGGTAACAGGCCAACCCTCTCTCCATCTTTGAGGACACTAATGCCACCCGTCCAGGTGGGATGGGAGCAGAAAACAGGGGGGGAGACATTACTGCGGTCTCGGGGCTCGCCCCTAGATTCTTCAGCCACCAGGCTCAGTGCCAGCCTCTGCTGTTACTGCGCTAGGCAGCCCCAAAGGAAGCGCCAGCCAGGTCTGGCGCCAGGTGTCCTTACCAACAGAAGCCCGCCGAGCCTGCTCTGTGCCTCTGGATGCCCGGAGGCGACCAATCGCCAGCGGCCCCTCCAGGAATTCTCCTGGACTGGAGCAGGAAGCGGGAGAGAAGAACTGGGAGCCCAATTCTTTGGCCAGGGGCTGGCACAGCCAAGGGCGCCTCTCCCGGCTTGTCCCGTATCCCTACCCCTCTCCCCGCCCCCTCGTCCCCTCCTCCTGTCCTGGAGCAGCTCCAGGCCAGCGACTCCCCACAAAGTACACACAGAGCCTGGGAGCTGGGTTGACAAAGGCACGACGGGACCAGGTGGGCAGGGACGTCTTTGTTTTTGCTGGGCTTCCAGTTTGAGTTTCTGTTCTTGTTACAGAAAAGGGAAGCAAGTCGCTCGGACCTTATTTAACCAGGGTTCCCTGGGCTAGCAGGTGCACGGGTTTGCGGACGTGGGAGGCTGCGGGGAGCCAGGCGCACTCGCACAGGACAGCCCCCAAGTCCAGGGCCTCCAGCAGCTCCTTCACTGGTTGGGCCGAGCCCTGCCTCACGCGGATCCCTGGGTAGGCTCTGACTCAGACACCTGTCTCTGCCCTGGCCAGAAGCGCTCAGCTGCACAACACCGGTAGCCAGCGCTCACATGCACGACGGCCTGGACAAGGCCAGGATTTGTCCTAGAGGGTAAAGGAAGCCATGTGTAAAGCCTTGCTCACTCCCAGGCCCCCGGGGGCTGTTCCCAGAAGCCATATCTCCACACAGTGGCTCTGACAGTCTGGGCCACAGCACCCTGGTTTCCAGCTCTGCAGAGACCAGAGAGGAAAGCCCAGGCGGCAGCCATGCGATAAAACTGGAGCGAGAGCTGGAGAGGCCCGCTGCCCGGGTCCCCTCTGGCTTCCAGGACCCTGGCTTCGCTGGCCTTGCTTCCATTTCTCCAGAATTTTCAACCCACCCCTGCCCCCGAATACCCAGATGTTTGATGGGGGCTGTTTGGGTCAACAAACTCTTATGGAATGCATTACAATAATAACGTCCAGGCTAACTGGAGTTCAGTGAGGTTGCTTAAGGCTGCTCAGCTGGGACTGGGAGGAGTGAAGGGTCTGAGAGATCAGGAAGTGTGGATAAATAAGTGAGAGCATTTGAGGTAGAAGGACAGTGCTGTGTTTTGGGATAGTGCCCTTGGTGGTAGTTTTTCCTGGTGTCTGCTGGTGGAGTGAAAGGGAGGCAGACAGGCGAAGAACTCCTCATCCTCACAAGGGGTAGTATTTATTCTTCTTCCGAGAAGCTGAGACCATTTTATTGATTCTCATTTTGAAAACTTGACATCATGATTGGAGGATTTTTTTAAAAAAAGATTTTATTTATTTATTTGAAAGGTAGAGTTAAAGACAGAGAGAGAGAAAGAGGTCTTCCATCCTCTTGTTCACTCCCCAAATGGTTGCAATGGCTGGAGCTGAGCTGATTTGAAGCCAGGAGCCAGGAGCTCCCTCTGGGCCCCCAAAGCAGGTGCAGGGGTCCAAGAACTTGGGCCATCTTATACAGCTTTCCCAGGCCATAGCAGAGAGCTGGATTGGAAGTGGAGCAGCCGGGACACGAACTGGGCACCGAAGGCAGGGGCTTAGCCCACTATGCCACAGCACTGCCCTGGAAGATGTTACTTTAAAAATTGTCCCCAACTCTACCTACTAATACAAAGCTTTTGTACTCTCTCCTATTTTTTTAATTGATCGATACAGCTTTTATTTTTTAAACATGACATAATTTTGTTCTGTTCTTTTTACATATTTTGAAACATGTCCCTGTGTCCTTATAGTATTCACAGTTCCCTCCTATGGCCATACTGTATTTAACTTCTTTTCTGTTATTGGTTGAGCTGTTTTGCCATTATCAATAATTCATCTACAAATATCTGTATACATACAACTTTTTTTCTCCTTCTAAATTATGTCCATTGGGTCCGAGCCAGAAAGAGGATGGCTGAGCCAAAGTGTTGACTATTTCATAACTCTTGCGATGTCGAGCCAGACTGCACTAATAAGATGGAACAACAAAGCCACTGAGACTCTTGCCTGTGTAGTCCTGTAGGGACTCACACTCCCTGACTCTACTATGTAACCCCTCCAGGGTAACAGGAAACCCAGGGAAGCACAGAAGCTGGGGCTTTTCAACTTCTCCTACTTGGACACACAGTATTCAAGATGGGTACACATCTCCGGGCACACTCAGAATGTAGTGATTCCCCTAGATTCTGCAGGAACTTGAAACACCAACAAGCTTTCTAATGAACAGACTCTTAATCAAAGAGGCAGTGTTTTTAATGTTGCTACAACAGGCAGCTGGTTATTGGCTGTAACTCCATTCCTTTTTTCAGATTCAAGAGAGTATCAGGATGCAAAATGGCTAGAGGGTTGGATAGAAGGCACATCCATTTTGAAGTCTAAAAGCAAGTGACCCCTTCTCAAACAGGGGCATTTGTGCTGTGTGGCAAGCAGACAAGTATGGGGCGCTCCAGGATCACAAGGAGACTGAGCAGTGCATTTAACACTAGCACTGTGCTGCAGCCGGTACCAGGCCAGGGATGCCAAAAACAAACAAACAAACAAACAAACAAAAAACAAAAAACGCTAAAGCACTGGGGCCAAGAGAGGGTAGATGGTCCTAATGGCAGGTGTATCACAGCTGTGGAGTACCATGTGCCAGGCACTGGGGTGCAACACTCATGGAACTGATGGTAGGGGACGAGGCGGGACACATCCGTTTATAAAATAGCTGGTCAGATGGTATTCAATACACAGGAGAAAAATCAGGCAGGGGAAAGTAGCAGGACATTCTGGAGAGCATGTCTTAAATGGCATTCAGATATGGCCTCTCTGAAAAGTGACATTCGAACAAAAGGCGCAGTGGGGAAGTCTGGGGGGAGGGCAGTCTAGACAGAGGCCCTGAGGCAGGGTGGAGGGAGTGGGTTGGAGGAGGAGAGGAGGTCAGGGAGGGAGCTGGGACCATCCTGGCTTCGCCCTATACGCGTTTTAAGGATTTGGGTTTTAACTCGAGAGAGGTAGGAGCAGTGCGTGGAGAGCGCGCTCTGAGGGCAGGAGTCCGGGAGCGCCTTTGGAAACGGCAAGGCGGGCTGGGAACACAGGTGTTGGGGCCCCGTGCACTTAGCCCTCAGCCTGCTCCCGGACTTGAGGTCGGAACTGTCGGGGGCGGTCAGAAGCCACGGCGAACTCCAGCCTGCAGGACAAGTATTCTCGGAAGGTCTTGAATCTTGAATCGCAATTACAGCCCCGCGTGATGATCTCGCAGGGAGTCCGGGCAGCGGTGCAGGTGCAGCATTGTCAGTTGTGTGGCCGCAGGCAGACTCAGTTACTTCACCTGTGAAATGGGAGTAAACGCGCTGACTGTCGAACCGCCCCAAATGAGATCACTCAAAAGCACCTTAGAGACCTCATAACCCTTTCAACATGCAAACGTGAACGTGCAGCTGACCTCGGAGGGTCGGCTTCGCACAGCACTTTGCAACTTTGGCTGACAAAGCACGGGTTTGCCTCGTTCGCGTTCGGTCGGAACCCGCTTGCCTCTCACCGAGCGCCGGCCGCGGGGCTGGGAGCTGCGGTGCGGCGGCGGGTGGGTGGTGCGGGGGTCCGGGGCGGAGCTGCGGAGAACCCGGGGCTCCCGACCCGACTCGACCTCTGCGAGGGCTGGGGGCACTCGAGGCCGTGACCCTCCGCCCGCTGGCCGGGCGGGGAGCAGCCGAAGGCCCGGCGCGGGGCCGGGCGGGGCGCGCGGCAGCTACGCGGCCTGGGCGGAGCCGCCCCCGCCCTGCGCCCGCCCTGCGCCCGCCAGCCCCAGGCTCCGGGGGCCAGCGCCGCGCGCTCTTTCTCCGACAGCTGCCGCGGGAACCTAGCGCACCGTGTCCTGCCCGTCCGTCCCCCCGGTCGCCGCCCGCCGCGTGCGCCATGAGCACCCAGCAGATAGTCCTCCAGGGCCCGGGACCATGGGGCTTCCGCCTCGTGGGCGGCAAGGACTTCGAGCAGCCCCTCGCCGTTTCTCGGGTAAGAAGCGCCCGGGGCGCTCGAGGGAGCGGGGCGCCCCCGGGCGGGGTGGAGGTGTGCCCGGGACCAGGCCTGGGGAGGCGGACGGGGTCCGGACCGCGGCTGGGCGCGTCCAGGTGCGCCGAGCGCTCCCCGCCGCCCCTTCGCCGGCGCGCTTGCGGTGTCCGCCTCCAAAAACCGGGCAGTTTCTTTCCTTCTCCCCGGAAGCGGGGCCTGGCGTGTGGACGCTGGTTGCCAGCCGGCGAGGGGGTGAGGGTCCCCACGGAGCGCGCTCGCTGGGAGCTCTCCCCTCCCGGCCTGGCCTTCCCCGGCCGCAGGGTAGGGGGATCAGGTTGGACGCGCAGCCAAGTCCTAGAAAGGGAAGCGGAGTGGATGGCCAGGTGGGGAGGGGGAGGGGTAAACGGGGTTAACCCCGAAACAACTGCCGAGGCGAGCAGTCTGTAGCGCTTTGGAGTTGGTCCGTAATTGGCTGTCACCTCCCTCGTGCCTTTCGGAGAAAAGGCGCGATTTTGGAAATAACCAAACCCAGTGTAATCCCGTGTGGCACTCTAATCCGCCTTTCTGGCATACCCGGGTTATCCGCCGCTCCGCGGATGCGTGGGTGCTGGGCAGGGGTTCCCGCCCGCTGTGGCTACTGGTGGGGAGGTGATGTCACTTGAAAACTTACTGGAGCACCCTCATCCCTTTTGGAAGAACCCATTGTCCCCAAATAAAGTGGGAGACCCAGGTCTGTGTTTGGAAGCTCCGGCTTTGGCCCTCTGGTTCCAAACCCAAGGTTGACGTCCCACGGAGTGGCCGTTTCAATGTCTGTACCTAGAAAGGGGTCAGGAAATACCTTTTGATTGAGTGAAGAAAAGAGGAGCTGAAAGCACCCCACCCCTAGCCTAGAGGCAGCACCTCTAGTTCTTGGGCCTGTCTGCCAGCCGAAGCTGACCTCAAACTTGACTACCCCCCCCTTCTGAGCAGCCCTGTGTGTTCTTGTGGGGGTGGGGCGGGGGGTGGAGAGAGAAGATCCTGTGGGTCCTTTGACTACAGCTCTACCTCCAGCAGCTGTAGGAGTTTGGTCGGCCAAGGGGGAGAGGAATTGGGAGCCTCCTGCGGGCTGCTTTGCTGGCCACAGACCTCCCACACTTCCTTGCAGGTGAGGAGAGGTGACTGTTCCATTCCAAAGGGAGCAGGCCACCTGCCCACCTTGTCCTGCCAAGCACCTCTGATTATTCTTGAAGGTACACACTGCCTTCCCAGCTGCCAGCCAATTCCTGAAGCACAGGGTCGGTGTCTTCCCCAGATCTGGACTCCCACCCCCGTTGCTGGCACAGGGCTGCTCTGGCCATGCCAGAAAATCCCTGCTGGCATATTAATAAATGCTTGTCCGGGGAGGGCATTACCCCTGCACATTTAGACTTGCTTACCTCATAGTCCATTTGTCCCTGCTCTTTGTGTCTATAATTAACCTGTCAGCCCTCTCCACTTCTAAGATTTATATGAGACCTGGGACATTTTTTTCGGTAGCAGAGGATGTGTTGGTAGGCTGTTAAAGGGGCAGTTACCACCATCATTTTAGCTGCTTTTGAAAGTTTTAATTTCAGTAAGTAGCCCTGTGCAGGAATGATGGAATGGGGTGAAATACGCCACACTGTGAATTCATTGGTTTGCACTTTCATTTTTCATTTATTGATTTATGGTGTGTGCACGTGTTTAGTAAGCACAGACTGTATGCCGGGAACTGCAGACTGCAGAAGTGAGAGCACACAGCGCCGTTCTCAAGGTGTTCATGGCTCAGGGAGGGCAGCTAATCTTTATAATGCGCTTGGCAGGTGCTTGGTGCTTTAGTTGAAAAATGAAAGTGACTCCGTGGAGGTGATATTCTCTTGCTGACAGTAATTTACTTATCTCTTTATCTCATTTTAAGTGGAAAAAACGTGAGCTTGTTCACCTCTTGAGAGTGGGAAAATCATTGTCCTATAGGGACCCTGGGGGTGGCCATTGGCGATCTGGTGCTGGTTTGGTATTTGCTTCTTACTGGCGCTGTACACGGGGTGAGCTTTCTAGAGCTACCTTCCTTCATTTTTTTTTTTTTTACAGATTTATTTTATTTATTTGAAAAACAAAATTACAGAGAGAGGTAGAGGCAGAGAGAGAGGTCTTCCATCCACTGGTTCACACCCCAGATGGTCGCAACGGCCGGAGCTGTGCTGATCCAGAGCCAGGAGCCAGGAGCTTCCTCTGGGACTCCCATGTGGGTGCAGGGGCCCAAGGACTTGGGCCATCTTCTGCCTTCCCAGGCCATGGGGGAGAGCTGGATCGGAAGTGGAGCAGCTGGCACTAGAACTGGTGCCTATATGGGATTCCGGGGCTTTAACCCGCTGTGCCACAGCGCCGGCCCTCATTTCTTTCTTTCTTTTTTTTTTTTTTTTTTAAATCTGTGTATTGGGGATAATACCCATGCTGGCTGTGACTTAAGGTATGTGAGAGTCAGTAAACAGTGAATAATAGTGAGCAAGTGTGAGCATTGACAGAGTTATACAATCTTCTGGTTGCTAGGTGTGGTACATTTATCATCCTGGGCAGATACAGTTGGTTAGTTTGGTTTTATATATCCTAGACTTTCTGTGTCTCCACACCAAAGCAAACTATAAAATTAGGCTGGGAGTGGAGTGCTGTTCACTTAAATAACCATATTTGCTCTCTCTTGCATGAATTATTCTGGTATTGGCTCCAGTCTTTAGTTAAAATGCTAACGCTTCTGGATATAATGCTGTAAGTCCTTGAAATATTTCCTTTTTGGACTTTTTTTTATTATTTTTATTTTTTGACAGGCAGAGTGGACAGAGAGACAGAGAGAAAGGTCTTCCTTTTGCCGTTGGTTCACCCTCCAATGGCCGCTGCGGCCGGCGTGCTGTGGCCGGCGCACCGCGCTGATCCGATGGCAGGAGCCAGGTGCTTCTCCTGGTCTCCCCTGGGGTGCAGGGCCCAAGCACTTGGGCCATCCTCCACTGCACTCCCGGGCCACAGCAGAGAGCTGGCCTGGAAGAGGGGCAACTGGGACAGAATCCGGCGCCCCGACCGGGACTAGAACCCGGTGTGTCGGCGCCGCTAGGCGGAGGATTAGCCTAGTGAGCCGCGGCGCCAGCTTGGACTTTGTTTTTTAATATGAAGTAAAAAAAATTATAAAATGTAAATGCATAGCAAATGACTATAAAGCAAACACCACCCAGAGAAACAACACCAGGACAAGAACTAGAACGTGGCCAGGATCCGAAGCTCACTCAGTGTAATCCTGTCCTGACTTGGGAGACTGATTTTCTTGCTTTTCTTCATAGAGTCACCAATTATGTAGGAATCCTGAATATCACAGCTTAATTTTGCCTGTTTCTGAACAGTCTCTTATAGAACAAACACATCTTTTCTGTGTCAGTATGTTCTTTGACTCCTTAATGTTTTCATCTGTGTTACTGTGACAAATTTAAATTTCAATCTAGATTTCCAACTTTTAAAAACTTTATATTTATTTTTATGTATTTGAAAGAGACACAGAGGATCTACCATCCTCTGTCTCGGCCCCTAAATACCTGCAATAGCCGGGGCTGGGCCAGCTGGAAGCCAGGAGCCTGGAACTCAATCTCTGTTTCCCAGATGGGTGGTGAGGACACAGTACTTGATGTCTTGGCTGCTGCCTCCTGGCATTAGCAGGAAACTGGATCAGAAGCAGTTGGGACTGACTTGAGTTCAGGCCCTCGGGTATGGGATACGATGGGCATCTCAAGCAGCGTTTTACATGCTGTGCCAAACGGCTGCCCCAGAATCTGGAGTTTAAGTGCACATAAACTAGCTTTCTTCCTTGATCTAGTTTCTCACTGAAGGTCCCTACCTTGGCCTCCCTGAGGATCCAGCCATACATTTTTGCCACTATTCTTTGAGATTTTTTTTCCATCAGTTTCTGCAGTTGGGTTTTTCCCCCCTTCCATGTCAGTTTCTGATTTACTCTAGTTGCTTTCAAAGGAAGCCTTCAGGGAATCCACACCCAGGCCAAAATTGCTGCTTGGTTTATGTTGCCCATGTTTCTCTCTCAGCAGCTGTCCAAAGACAGGAACGGGTGGAACCCGAGATAAGGGGGTGCCCTTAGCTGGGGGAGCTGTTCCCTTGCCTTTTTATTCCTGGAGAATGTCCTCTTAGGGCCGTGGTTGTGTCCTTGTCTCAGATGTCCCAGTGGGTGCTTAGTAATGGGTGCCAGAACCTCCTCTCCGATTTGTCACAGTGTGACAAATTTCCAGACTCAAGTGGACTTTACATCACGTCTTAAAGGTAGAAAGAGCAGAATCTGTTGTCGGATTAAGAAATCTGGAAACGCTGCTTTTGTTTGGCCCCTGTGCTGCCTTCCTGTGTTCCGTGACACTGATCACCTGGGAAATCTCTGCTGCTCCTGCTGATCACAGCTGACCCAGGGAGAGTGGAGATGGAGAACGGCGAGTAAGTGGATGCTTGAGCCCCTAGTGGAATCTGCAAAGTCAGGTTACCACTCTCAGACCACGTAGCTGTCCTCCACGGCCCCCTGGAGGCCAACATTGCTGTCCTGTGCAGAGGAGGGGATCAGTTAACCGCTGGGTCCTCCTCTCCCAGGCTGGCCAGGCCTGGGAAGGGCACGGAGGAGTGTCCTGTGCTAGGACTAGGCCAGGACTGGCTCCCGCCTGTGCGTGTTCTCTGGGCCGAGCCTTCCTGTGCTCCGTAGAGAGGGAGAAACCTGCTTTTCTTTGCCTTTTACACTTCTGAAGCCAAAGTGCCCACAGCCTGGGCATGGTCATTTGTTTGAATTTACATAATTTTTCATTGCCTGAACTACTTAACTTCCTTATAAAGGAAGGGGTGGAGGCTGATTAAAAATGAGCAGAAGTGGCTCCATCAGAAAATTAATTTTTAAAGGAAGATTTGATTCCAGTAGGTCTCAAAGGAAGAGCCTGGGTGGGGCTGCGGGCCTCCTGCCCTGCCTGTCACGTGTGCAG